AATCTTTATAATATGTAATTGGTAAATTTTTTATATAGATTTATAAATTTATTAAAATTATATATGAAGAGTCATGTAAGAAGAACGAGTATTTTATTTTTGTAAAGAAATTAACAGTTTTTGAATAAAGTTCATAATGCCAACTGGAATTTTATTCATTTCAAAATTGTAATTTTAAATTTTGGATTTTAATTAATTAAAAGAAGCTTTAGTTTCATTAGTGGAACCACTTTATTTTATGTTAGTTTTTACAAAACTAATTCTACGTTATATCTCCGTATATCGTATATCGTAAGTTTAAATTTCGTTCTTCTTTCAAAAGAAGCGTAAGCAAATATCAAATTGTTGAATTGATTCTTCAAATTTATTGTCACAAACTGTTATCTCACTTAGTTTTATAAAATACTTTCTCTTCTGTATTGCAGCTTTGATCTGTAAATATTCGATTTAACTGCAATATAGAACAAAATTCCAATTTATACACCGCTCGGCTTAACATTAATTATTAAACTCTGTAAAATGTTATTTTTTTAATGCCCTATTTCTCCCACTTTGCATTATAATCTTCATCCATCTTCTATCAAAGCAAAAAATTTTTGCGTCAGCCCTCGTTTTCTTTCAAATATATTTACTTCTTCCTCAAATAGATTTTTGATTAAAACTAAAATAAAAATTAAACACTAATTGATATTGTAGGTATACATATTTTCTAAAAATTAAGGTTTTTAAACAATTCTCCTAAATATATGCAAAATTACTATTAAAATAATTAAATTATATGATAATGGAATTTTTGTTAAAGTAGTGTAAAGTGTTATATTTATTATCAATAAGGATCTGCAAACTGAAATACATGTTGCGGTTCGGATTTCACTGTGGGAATAATATTGATATACTCGCAGTTTGCTGCTTTGATCAATTACTGTACGCATATGTATGGATGAATGTAGACAGTTGCTGTGCCTATTACACTATATGAGATGTTTATTACTACGAGTATTCATTCCAGGAAGAAAATTCAAGGATAAGAACTAATATAATATCCAATTTTATAGCCAGCAAAAATTTATATGTGAAGAGCATCTCTTGGTGCTAAAGACAAACCAAAACTGTTTTTCAAAACTCTTAAGGTATTCCTCTATAGATGAGGGTTTCTTTAAAAAAAATTGTATTAACCAATTCAATTGATGTTATTACAATATAAGTAACAAGAAGAACTAGTACATAAAAATAAAAACAAAATAAACAGAAATGTTAAGAAAGAATTGCATAAAATAATAACGAAATAATAATTTTATAGAAACCGTTTATCAACTTTTTTATCAAGTTCCGAAAATACAAAAAAAAAAATTAAATTAAATTATGTATCGCTATAATGGAAAAAAATTAAAAAAGAATATAAACATAATAGTTAAAATAATTCTTGAACTTGAAAATCCGGTGTAGCTAGAATGCATAATAATTGTGAAAAATAATTTTATATATTATTTTAGACATGTTACACTCATTCTACACACACACACACATATACATATTTACATGTATATTATATTTACAAAAAAAAAAAAAATATTTGTCTTTATTTCACTTTAATTCACTTAATACTTCATTCGATTTGAAATTTTTCATTTGATATGTATATTATTGGAAATTGGATTTGTGTAGAAGGTGACCACTTGTGACTCTATTAAAAATTGTTATGTAAAATGATTTGTTGTCATTTAGCGCACACTTTATTTTTATCTATACATGTATATATATGTATATACATGGAAATAAATTACTTTATCATTATTTGTCATTTAGTAAAATATCCGTAGGCAATATTAATAACAACCGTTTTTTATTTTTAAAAGTATGTAGGCCCTGTTCTAAACTATACATACATGCGAATATAAAGTATTTAATTGATATTGATAAAAATCAATAATAGTTTGACATAAAAAGCGTGATAAACTTGTTGGTTTAATAAATCTTATAGAATTGTCTTCGATTATTGTAATTTTCCGGTTGCTAGAATGCCATACTTCCCTAAGTTAACGCACTAATAGTAAACTCAATTTTAGTAGAAAAGCTCAAATAAAATTTCAAATTTTTATGTCACAACTTAAATTTCTTTTATAAAATTTATAAAAAATGTGATTAAATTTTTACAAACCTATTTATTGAAATTAATAACAACTAGGATCGGAGCAAAAACGGGAGGCTGCTTACAGGAGCAGAAAGCGGCTTAAATTTTTAATCTGGTGTGCTCTAAAGCTTATTTAATGGTTTACTAAATTCATAAACGTTTAATCAATTCACAATGGTTTAATCAATTCTGAATAATTCTTTAAAACAATAACGCTGTATGAAATTACATTTCTTCCTAAACATTCAATAAAGTAAAGGTTTATTCTTCTCACCTCGCAAAAGAAATATTAGAGGTATTTTAATTTAATGTTTTTATATTAGAGGAATAGAGGAATTTTGTTATGAAGAACACAGAAAACCGAAAATGGATCACCCTTCCTTTAATATTTTAAGAATTATGGCTAATATTTGTTATTTTCGTAAGTGAAAATGAAAAAAAAAATTCTTTTGCTAGCAATAATATATACTTCATATATATAGGAAAGCAAAAAGGAAAATTTGCAAATATTGCCTGCATGTATCAATTTTATATTGAATAATGGCTAGTTAATGAAAGATATCGATAGCGGTAATTTGAAGTGTCTGCAGAATTTCATAAATTCTATTTTTTTTTTAATATATTTTTAAGTATTCTAATATTTTATGAAATTCTATCATGTACGATTACTTATGCGCATGAATTCATGCATGCCTATTTATGTATGTATAGAAAAACACTTTTTTGAATATTCTTAAGTAAAAATTATTGCAGTTATACTGATAATTTGCTTACATTACATTTATTACATGACTTGTTTTCAAATTTTAAATCATGTTATCTTATACACATATACATATATATAACGGTTTTATAATATAATATTTAAACTCGTTAATATTCAAAAATTTCTGTCCATACTTCAGTGAATTTAGAATTTTATTCAGAATCCCAATGCATAAATCATAAAATTTTTTTTTCTATATTAAATTATTTTTCTTGTTTTATATCATTATTTTAATTTGATAAATTTAATAATATGCTTGTTATTTTGTGTTTCTTACACCTATGGTAATTTTTGAATTATGTGTACATGTGGGTAAATATTTTATCATCATCTAATATGAATGATGGCAATTGATGGTATCATTTGATTTATTAAAATGTTAGAATATTTTAAATACTATTAAAATTTAATTTTTTTGCAATTTAACGCAGAGGTATTATATAACAATTTCGTGGAGTGGGTTTTAAGGAAGAAGATGTATATATGTATTTGATGTACAGAACACAGTTTTAATTAAAAATTAAATGTTTTTCTTTGATTTAAATATAGGTTGTTAATGAGATTATAGTAAGGTACTTAATTAAATTTTTATATTTGGTTTTTTTTTTCACCTTTCTAACCTGTTCCCATGTTGACAATATGTGATAAATAAATCGAATTTTGTAAAAATTCAGTATAAATATGTATATATATAATTTATGTTTAGTAAGACACAAATAGTGTGCGTAATAAAATATGCTCAAGATCTGGGAATGAAAATTCTAATTAAAATATAATATGTTTACGATGTGTTATAATAGCTGAAAATGTATAATACTCTAGGTGTGTAATACTTCTAACTATGACAACGCCAGTCTGTTAAAACGAGTAGTTAGAGAAAATATTTACGTACATTTAAATCGGTAGGTGACTAACATTTTAATATGAACTCTCAATATTTATTAATTTTTAGATTAGTTTTTATGTGCTTATAACAGAATTCATATGAAAAAAAGCATTTAATTTGCAAACTATTTTCAACTATTATAAGCAATATTTCATTGTGTTATACTAATTTAAATGAAACACGAGAACTGTGGTATGTTATGATAAAGATCTTTAATTGTTTAATGATTATCATCGGAATCATTATTTTAAAATAATTTTCATAACTTGTTAAAATTTATATTCAATATTAATGTCAGAAAAAATAATGGACAATCAAGCTTCTTTCAAAAATTAGTAAAAATTCAATCACATATTGCATACTACATTGACAGTTACTATCATTTCATAGTGCACGTGCATAACGTGGAATCAAAAATGTCATAAATGAATGCAATTGTATTTGTATTACAAAATATTAATATATAAAATTTGAAGCTACTTTATTGCAAACCTTTATTTGATAAATTAAATTCGTATGCTGTTCAATGTAATTTCATAAGTCATAATATAATTAAAGAATTACATAAAAGGATTTACAATAGAAATTTTAAATCTAGTCAAATTGTTTTAAATAGCTCCATTAAATTAAAAAATTAGAATTCGAAAGTTTCTATAATTTATAAGTGTTTTGAAATAATTAAAAATAAAATATTGCTGGCCGTTTTGATACCCTATACACAAATATATATTCTGTAATGAACCCCAATACAAAGTTATACGTTATATACATAAAATTTATGATTGCAAAATAATTGAATTAATTTTTTAAAATTGCAATTTCATCTTATTTTCTCCTTTTTTTCAGATACATCTTTAACTCATAAAATGGATACGAAGGCGTCAGTGTTAACGTAACGAAAAATATCCAATTTTACTTCTTACAAATCATATTATCATATAAGCATCATATCATCATAATCACCATATATAAATCGCATCATATTAGAACCATCATTAGTTTCATTCCATATAAGTACATACATATAAATATATAAGAAATTTTAAAAAGAAAATTCTTAAAACGCAAAAATAAATACTTCAAATTATCTTTACCAAATAAAGTATGTCTACTGTCATTAATGAATTTTTGATTCAAAGATTTTATCAAAACAGTAATTTATATCATAAAGTCATCATTTAAAAAAAAAAAGCATGAGTGATTTAATTATACGCGTATACGGTTACCGTTTTGTTGCAGCAAATAAAATATAAACCTATAAATTATACACATATATGTATATGAACACCCGCTAATGTCTTTAACAATTGTGAATAGTTTACTTTTTGGTATTATATGAATATTTTATCTTTATACATAAATACATATTGGCACATCACAATTGCTAATACATAATATAAAATAGCTGATGGTTGGGTTTTGTTAAAAATAAAATGCACAATTCATATGGATTAAAATACTCTTGGGGATCTTTAGTTATAAAAATTATAATTTATTTTTATCTTATACTATATACACATATGATCAATGGAGCGCCATCATCTACAACTAGTCTTGCTGCTGGGGTAAAAACAACATCAGATGGAAAATATAAAGTAAATAATTTAAATGTAATCGATGGTAGCGATACAAATTTTACGAATTTAACACGTCAACATGACGGCGATATATTTAGTGCAAACGGTAAGTTACTAAAACGCTATTAATGTACACTTAATTTGAATATATTAAAATTGAAGGATTAAACATTATTTGCATTTTGATATACGTAGTCAATCAATAAATTGCAAATAAGTCACACATTTACGATTACTCATTTTTATAAATGCAATTAAAAGAATATTAAGAAATATGTTCAAATTCTTTACTGTAATGCCGTCCGTGGGACTCTGCCATTTTAATGAATTCTGATTAAAAAATCTTATAAGATTTAAAATTTCCGAAAAAGAATTTTAATATCAAATATTATTTTTTAATTACTAATACAAGATCATAAATTAATAACATTTTTTTTTAATAAATTAACTAATGCGGCTAATGCGCCGAAAAGTAGGCAAATTTTTAAAATTTTAATTTCAGTTTAAAAAATTTTTTATAAATAATGAAAAAACTACTCACTTTTGTTTTGTTTTAAAAAAAAATCTTCAGATTTTGGCATTTTTCGGCTTTCACTTTGACTTCCCAGTTAAATGAGAAACATTTTTTTCGTTCAATAAAGTTTTAAAAGATTTTCAATTTCTGGAATTCTTCTTATAGGTACATACGTGCATTTAAAAAATTTTATTCTTAATTTTTTTTAAATTGCAGAATTTTTGCAAATGAACCCCAATTTAATACTTAGCGGGGGATGAAATTCTTTGAAAAATTTCTTTTTACAAAACTGATTTCAGTTTATTCCACTTGTTTGGATTTCTAAATTTTTTAGTATGTATTTTTCATGTGTTCAAATATTGTTAACCAATGCTTCAGGTATAAAATTTATTTAAGTTTTCTTTTTTTATTTCTTCACCTTTTATTTTGCATATTGCGGCAATTTTTAATTTTATTTTTATTATTTTCTTTTTTTTTTTCTTATTTTTCACTGGTAATATCTCTTTTTGTTTACGAAACAATGGAAGATATCTCAAAATGTAACTTGGATACTTGTGTGGGATTATCAAGTGGTACAGCTAGTTTAGTTGTTACAGAAAACAAGAAAACAGGTAATTTATGCAATTATTGTTTTAAAGTTTTAATGCTAACTTTTGACTTTGAAAAACAACAAAACAAAAAAAAAAATAAAAAATTAATGTGAAAGAAAATTCAAAGAATAAATAAAAATTGTTCTAGATATTTTTATTTCATTCACTTATTCACTTTTTTTTTGTGTACTTATACAGATACTTATAGATTATAATATAATAAATGACCATTTGTTTTAGTCGCTATTTTAATAATTTCTCTTTTTCTGTTTGTTTTCTTATACTTTGATTCATATCTATATTTATTATACATTATGTGCAAAAACACGAACTATAACCAAAAAAAAAAACGAAAACCAAAACTGCTTATCCATTGCAATTTTGTCAAGATGTTTCAACGGCAACAAATTCTGATGATAGTAATCTAGATGGTTGCACATGTCGCTGTCATTCCTATTCGAGTACATATAGAGAAGATTTAGGAATTTGTGTTGATGATATTCGAGGTAAGTTAAAATTATAAAGTATATATAGAACTTATTGTGAAACCCACAGTTTTTAGCAATCAAATAAAATAGTTTTGTTTTTTGTTTTTTAAATATATATTTTAAGATTTTTTGAAAATTTAATTCTATAACATGATATTTTTTTTATAAAATTAATACTTTTGTATATAGGTAAATATAAAATAATATATTATTTATAATATTTACCTCTCCAAGTGCCAGTTAAGAATATTGTGTCCTCTTTAACATTACAAATAAGTGTATATTATTAAACACTATAGTAGTAAACGAAAATGTACTTATGCATAATTTAAAATTTTCAGTTTTTTTGCAGAATTTTATAATACAAATTATTACTGTCGTAACTGTAGAATCAAAAAAAAAATACTGTGGTCTTAAATTGCAAAAACTTTAAAAATTATTGAGATCAAAGATCACAATACCTTAAACATATAATTAATTATAAACTATATTACAATTTGAATGTATAATTGCACATAAGTGGGTACATTCAAATTTCCAGTCAATAATGTATAAATTTATATTAATTGTCCATAATGGAAACCTTATATACAAAACTGGTCAACAACATCTGCAACAAAGTTAATTTGTGCGGCAAAATAATTTTAATTGTTAAATATGTAAAGTTATAATTAAACGAGGAAAAATAGAGTTGACCGTGTCAACTCTGTGATACCCGTACGAATTTGTTATCCTATGTAAGAGTTATGAATATCCCATAACTGACTACAGGACATTAAGTTGCCATACTGTCATATTAATTTATGCAAAAATTTCAGTACTGTGTACCTTTTGTGTTCAAAATTTTAGTACTTTTCAATATTATCTAAGATATGGATTATCTAAGATCTATTGAAGTTGTGTAGCAGTTACCACAAGGAGTCAAGAAAGTTCAATGATTTTTATCATACATAACAGCTCTAATAACACACTTGTTTTTACGAGATTTCTATATTATAATTCCAATAATATCTGAGATAATGCCAAATAACTTTTGGAGTTGTATGGTAGCCACTAGAAGGAGCCAAATAATTTCAACGACTTTTATCAAACACATTGGCTCTACTGATATATTCGTTTGTGTGAAATTTCAATACCAAAGCTTTTATAGTTTCTGAGATATAGCCAAATAAATTTGAAAATTGTATGGCAGGTACCCGAACCAGTAGCACGATCATAACCAATTTGAATAGTTTTCTCGCATTTACTATAATAAATCATTTGTGAAAATTTGGTGAGCCTAGCTCATTAGTTTTTGAGTTATCGTTGAGATGAACAGACAGACGGACGGACAGGCGGACAGACAGAGCTAAATCGCCTTAGAATTCGACACTGATCAAAAGCATATACTTGAGTCTATATCTCAGACCATTACTTCTTATCGTTATAAATGGTAAGGCAAATTTTGTATACTCTCTAAGTATACGTTCGTACGAACTCTTATAATTATCTTACAAACTGTTTTAATTAACTGAAAATTTTGTTGATTATATAATTAAATAATTAATGAAATATTTAAATTTATCGACAATATATTTTCAGTTCCAATACCAGGTTTTTTTTTTTCAGAAAAATTCAAATTACAATTTGTTTCGTGGTGTTCAAATTTTGTATGCAATTTACTTACACATGAATAGCGCTAATTGTTTCTCATTCAATAACATAATCAAATAAATAATATTTTATTTCCAAATTTTTTTTGATTCAAAAATATTTATTTTAAATTTCTTTTAACGGGATTTTACACATAATTTGCATTAACATAAACTTTCGTAATAATATAAAATCGAAATTGAATAAGTTATTTTATTTTTGAAATTAATTAAAAAATCAAAAAAAAAAAAAAGAGCAATAAAATCGCTTATTGAACGCATCACAAAATGAAAATGAAGAGATATTATAAGATTAAAATAAAAAATATAAAAATATGTAAGTGTTTGCTAATTATGTGTACAATTAAGATTTTCAAAATTTAAATACAAAAAGAAATTGAAACGAAAGTTTTATACTGTTATACAAACAAAAATGTTATGCACAGTAAATAAAAACCATCAAAAGTACCATGACAGTCAATACAAGTATTTCAATTATTTGAAATTATTGTATTTTTATTATTCTTTTTGTAAAAACGAACGAATTTTATGTTGAATAACCTGTCTAATATAAAATTATCATTTTTAAGACATTTTATAATAATTATGAACAAGATTTTCATTTTAATATTTTTTTTCTCTTAATAAAAAATGTTTTGAGATAATTTTTGGATTTTGAAAACATCAGGATTATCGAGAATATAATTTAAATAATTTTTTTTCACTTCGATTTATATAAAGAGTTTTCAAAAGATATGCACAGAATGCGTTTTTATCCTCTCCAAATGCTAATAGTAATACCATTGCCAATGGTACTACTATTAGCAATATTAAATGTTGCATGAATGAAAACTCTACTAGTACTGTTCATGTTTACTGCTATAATTGAACAATATTATAACCCATTACGTTTGTTTTAACAGCGTAAGACTGAAATTTTGATGTCACGGTGGAATTTGAAAAATTGTGAAAATATTAAAAGTCTATTTGTACAAATTAAAAATAGATGATCTAGATAGCCTTCTATAAGCTTCTAATTTTAAAATTCTACTTACATATTTTAATTAATTTTTATTTAACTAACATAATTTTAGAGCACTAATTTTATATAATTTGAAAATTCTGTAAATTTCACTAAAATTTTTTTTCATCTATCCGTATTTACCAAATATAGTTTGCTTAAATGTCCTTAAGATCCAATTAAAAACATAAACTTTCTTAAAAAAATGAAAATATAAAACTTGTATAACATAATGAAAATTGTATTCAATTTAAAATTCCTTACATAATATAGAATTATTTTTATATAGTAAATTAAGTTTATGACGTGTAAAATTCTCTTTTAATTAACAAAATAAATTCCTTAGTGATTACATTTTTACAATATTTTTTTATCCTTTTGATCAAAATTGCGTTATTGCCATAATATTATAAAACGATAATATTGCCATTTTAATTTAATATAAGTGGATAACAGATTTTTTGATCACCTTTCTTATTTTTAAACACATATTAAAAAAAAAAAATAAAAGTATACTAGATATATGAGAGAAAGAAAAAGATAAAAAATGGTTGCCTAATACCTTATACGGTTTCACATAAACGCGTACGTACTTCAGTCTTAAATCAGATTTACAATTGAAATATCTGAAGTATGCCATTTACGATATTAAATAGAAATTAAAAATTTCAATTTTATTTTGGTGTTATATGAATAGTCAAGTATTAGTATAGTCAATAGTGAGCAGCTATTGTTTATATTAAATTTTCCTTTAATGCAAACTCATCTGTAGAATAGAGAAATTATAAAATTGAATATAAATTTATCTAGAAATATTTGCTATACATATTCACACAGCTTTATTAATTTATATGTATAACATTTATTATATTGATTTTTTTGTAATACCACCACAAGTTGTCAAATGTCGCGAATAGATTATGTAGTTTTGTGACGAATTAGTATTTGGCATGTTGTTAATCACAAAATTTTCTTATATTATATATTTTCTATATATTTGACATTTTGGGCATATAAAATTAATATAATAAATTTGTGACATCTGTTGTGATTTCTAACATATAAATTATACACAACTAACAAAATATATGGCTCAATAAATTGAAAATGTTGCACACTGAGTACCAATATTCAGTAAAGAAAATCGATTAGCAATACTTGATACAAAAAATCAAAAAAATTTTATTGTACATAATTTTCAAATGAGTAACTTTACGATAAAAATACAAATGTATTGTTCATTTTTGTTGAAGAACTTAGGGGTTTAGAAGATATGCAATTTTTCTAGTTTTGCAACTGTTTCATTGCTTATTTGTATTCCATAGATTTAGAGCTCAGATTGTTTATGAAATTGTCTATTTAGTTTTGCAACTCTTTGATTGTTTATTTGTATTCCATAAGTTTATATTCAAACTCGTACATCGGCTGCATTTAAGCTATCAAACAGTTTGTAATTTTATCAAACTGATCGCAATTTTTAGTTAACGCAATCGATTTGAATTGACAATAATTGTAAAATCTGCTTCAGTCCTTACCTATGATGCTTGTGAACTTAACTGTCGTTAAATATTATACGTTACTATGTTTAAGGCAAGTTATATCAATTTAATCATATTTTTATTGGTTGAAATTCCTAAACTTTTTTACATAATTTAAATTATGATTTTATTCTACAATCATTTACAAGAGAAAAAATTACAACATTTCAAACATATTTCACAATGATTTAAACTCAAATTTATTCTACGAGTATAATGCTTACATATCACTAAATAAAAAGCAAAAGAAATGCATTCATACTAAAATAATACAAACTGTTAATAAACGGTTAGTTCCAATTAAACGAAATGGTCATACATTTGAGTGCATTTTCTTTTCCTTTGTTATTTTTTTTTTTATTATAAAACAAAAGAAATATCAATCATTATTTAAAATTCCTAACAAGTTTGTAAGATAATTTAAAAGAAAAACTAGCAAAACATAAAAAGAAACAAAATAGTGATAAACATTTTTTCATCTTATTTTGACAGCTTAACTCTATTGTATTATATGTGATGCATACATGTTTGATTGCTTAATGTATGAAATAATGTCTATACGAAAAACTGTTAATTCATTGAAAATATATTGAAAATCAAGGTGTTATTTACTACTTGTACATACTCACAATTGTATAAAAATAATAGGGTACATAATAAGTGTAATAATAAAGTATTACTCGTAATATACCGTTTAACTTATATACATTATGCGCCTAATAATCATATTCTCTTTGGTTTCTTTAAATTATCCATTAAATCAATCTGGAAAAATTTCAATTATAACCATAACTATACATACATACGAGTATGTATATACATAAATGC